AATAAAGTTTGATGTTCCATCATTTTTGCTTAAAAATTCTTAATTGAAAAAGTTAATGAAAAAAAAAAAAGAAAAAGAGCCAAGGCCCACCGTGTGGGCTTGAGCAAAAAATAAAAATCAAAATAAAATAGCTGTCTTTAATTTTTAGCGACATTGATTCGTCGAGTAAAGTCAGGTTTTATCATTTTTGACCTTCCAAAACTAAATTATGCCCTAGTTTTTGTCTAAAAACACCTCAAAATTATAGAAATAACATCAACATGTTTATTTAAAATCTCAAAACTCATTTTAATGCACATAAAACAAACAAAAATTCAAATTAAAATAAAAAACTTAAAATATTTTTAAATATCGATCTACCGTCTCTAACTATTTTATCGTTTACCGCCATCACAAATAGATTCTACTATTTGAGGTGAATAAAATGATGATAAGCTCGACCATCAACATGGATGGAATAGGTCTCTCTCTCTCTCTCTCTCTCTCTCTCTCTCTCTCCTCTCTCTCTCTCTCTCTCTCTCTCTCTCTCTCTCTCTCTCAATGCAAGAACCAAAAGCAATGAAAAATAAAGTTGTGGAATAAAAAAAATTATTAAAAAAAAAAGTACCCAAGTATATATTTTTGGAATACAATGAACGAATAGAAAATATAGACAAAAAAAAAAACCAGTGAATGAATAGTAAAAACAAAGAGTGCTCAGTATGTGAACAATAATTTGTTGTTTTATGTAATCGAAGCTCATCAACGCATAACAACAAATTTATAGCTCTGCACTTCTTGAAGGGGTGTTTAAACGAGTAGAAAACCATTTTTAGATATTATCCAATACCAGCAAAATACAATTACAGGCCCAAATAACTGTTCCAAAATCTAAATAATCCGAATCCATAAATGAAGCGGGGATGGGGGGAAGGAGAAAAGTTTTCTGGCCTCCATCAAACTGCTGAGAAGACATATTTGTGAAATATACCTAAATGAGGTGCATCACCATTCACCATAATGGAAGGTTTATCTTCTCCAGCACATATCACACCATGAAAAACACAACCTTATTCACACTCACCATTGACTTCCAATCCCCAACACAAAACATACAGCATTCCCAACTTTACGCCAAAACTGACATAGATCCCCCCATTTCTAGACGCTTTGATTGGAAGAATCCATAAGTGGAGGTTGTTTCGGTCTAAAACTAACTTAAAAAAAAAAAAGGGGAGGGGAGAGGGTCAGCAGTCAGCCTCAGGAGGCCATCCCTAGAAAGGACAACAAAAAGAGAATAAGGAGGACTTGGCTATCGACGAGAAATTAAACAAATTTTCAAACAAAATTCTCTCTCTCGCAAAAAAATGATGAAGCACCGGAGTGAAGAGAGGGAAATTTTGCCAAAAAGATAAAAATTCATTTTTACGTGTCTATATATATATATATATTGTTAGGAAAGTGATGTAAAATCTTTATTGGACTTTCATTTTTGGATTGATCGGATTCTTAATCACCGACATGTATTATCATAATCACAAAATCGAATCCTACGATAACTTTGAATTGAAAAGGTGTATTAATGTTTGAATCGAAACGGTAGTTGCGTAATATGAAGCAAAAACCGTATACTAGCTAGCTAGCTAGAACCCTTCAAAATTCAGCATCACTCGGAGTACTATACATTCTCACGACATATTTTATCAGTATTGCAGCTCTAATGCTGTGCATGAAGTCACCCGTCCTTGATGTATAATACAGGTTGATGGAAATGAATCCATCGGTAATGAGAAACAGAAAACAATCCATGGACCGCCTAGCTGGGTTTTGCCACCTAGCTAGGTAGGTCAAATTTACGTTGAGTTAAGGTGAATTCATGTCTAAGTTGATAATTGCTGTACTGACTAAAATATCGAGTTGGCTTGTCAATTTTTGTAACTTCAATACCACCACACCGGCATAACTTCTAGCAGACCCAACTGCGTAGTATGCATTAAGAACACACTGATTTTCAATTAGGATCTTTAGACTGAAATCAGAGTTAGACCATCCAAATTCTTCGTATTCTCCTAAGCTATAAATAGATTGGTATCGTTAAAAAGTATCATTAAAAATAGCGTAATTTAGGGGAAAAAAAACCAGAAAACCATATTTACGTCAGAGGGTAATCTCAGAAAATACATGATTGTGAATTGAACCCAACGAGGTCGTGCTCATTCCAGCCAGGATGATTGATCATGAAAACACTACATGATTCTGACTATTAGACTAAAAGCAAAACGATGTTGAGAGCTTAGCTTCCAAGCTAATTAATGTACCTCATAGGTGAAAAGTGGTTCCCATAAGTATATGCAATTACAAAAGCAATCTAGACCTCCATTTAATTACATTTCTTCTCCATAAAAATTACTCACTGCTGATCTATCCCTAGGGCATAATGTTTGAAACACAATATGATGAAATAATTTCATTAACCTGGCTTTTTTGAGGCTTGGAAATAAATAAAATTAACAAATGCTATCTATTCATGATGGCTGCAAAAGCAAGGGACATTTTCAAAATTATTTGCCTCCTCTGGTTCCCCGGATACATATATATATATATATATATATATATATATATATATATATGTTTGCAAGCTAAGTGAAATGCTGATCAAAATCCATGGATATGGACCAAACACCTTCGGAATCATTAAAATACAAATCCAAGAAAGGAAAATACACATTCAAAGTTTATGTTTCAAACATTTGCCTGTCCATCAACATTAAAAATGCATCATTCTTTATCAAAGACAGGTAATTATTTAACAATATTAAACATGCAATTCACCTAAGATTATCCATAATTTTATTAATAATGCTTGTGTTTGGTTCTAATAATAATAATGCACCAAGAGATATATACAAGGAAGGAGAGTCCGCTCACGGCCCGTCACCTCTTTACTATATGTATTTTTGTGCGTGTAAGAACTGCGATAACTAAGTTTGGTTTAATAAAATAGATTCCTGTAATCATATATTACTATAAAATAGGCACACAATATAATTAAGCATACTTTGTCAACAACTAATATAATTTTTCATGGCATCTTACAGATAGTCAATACTTTAATCACTTGCTTATTCATCTTATCCTTTAACTTGTCCCTTCACTGGATATCAGAACATCTTCATGCAACCTAGCCCTACGAACCTATATTATTATTTTTTTCCCTATGAAGATCAGTTTGTACGTCAACTTAAACTAAGTTCCAATTTTGAAGATCTTAAAGGCTCACTTCCTAATCATCCTGTGCATTTAAGAAAACAAACTTTCATATGCCTTAACTTCAAAAGTTCGAACTTAAGAAATCAAAAAAGAAAAACAAACTTACTTAACCACTTAAACTTTTAATTATTTCATCTTCCTTGAGGTTCTTCATGAATATAATAGCATGATCAACAGATGTTTTACTGGAATCTAGCTAGAGAGGCAGCTACCACATCTATTAAAAAAACTTAAAGAATAGATTTCCTATTTTTAAATCAAATTGTCATATCCAAATATAAATTAAACCACATGAACCTATTAGAAAAATGGATTTTTTTTCTTTGAACTAGTACAAAGTTGAAGTCATCAAAGCTCAAGGAAACAAGATAAGACTTAAAAGTGGGTGTGGGGAAATTAGAAGAGGAATGTGAAGAAGAAACGGGAACGTACCAATGACTCCATTCTACAAGCTTAGATGGATTCAGTGGACTGCCACGTAAATCACAAAAACCAATTGTGGCCTAAAGTAATGGTTTTTTGTTGATAAATACATAGAGCATGTGTCATTTAAAAAAAAAAAAAGGAAAAATGTATGTGTGTGTGTGTAAACATAATTCACCCGGAGTATAATTAATTCATCACTGTTTAATAGTGTTCATGTGATAATGGATTTTCACTTGTACATTTAATGATATCCCCTCTCTGGGGAACAACCAGGATTGATATGACACAATGGAGAAATGGGATGTGGATTTGAATAACAAATTAAATGAGGCTGTCGTAGACCATTCAAAGACAAAGACCCCATCCCACAGTATAGCACAAAAACTGAGATGCGAATAAAATTAATTCGATTACACCATGTATATGCTAAAAGACTCTTAATTTCCTTCTTCTTTTAGTAATGTAGATTTAAATGCAGAAATTCCATTTTAAGCTTAAATACCACTCTTGACATCAATGTTTGCTGGGTTGTACTATATGATGATCTTCTCACCATATCCATACAAGTTCTGCAATCATGCCAAGATAAGAGCAAAAGAAATAGCAGGAAGCAGGAGGAAAAGCAAACACAAACAGAGTCACAGAATATTATACCAACCATATAAAACGTAAAAATAGTATATCATGAAGCCAGTTCTTGACAAACTGACACAAACCCTTTGTAATGCCTGAATGATTTGATAGAACTAGCATAAAAACATGTTAATTGACAAATCTGGCACAGACCTTTTTTATTGTCTGAATGATTTGCCAATACCTAAAAAGTATATAATTATAAAACCATATATTTAAAGAAAAAGAAACAAAAGTAAAAAAGTGCAGAAAAGATGCACAACACGATCTCCAAATCAATTACAACGCTGCTACTACTTGTCATAAATTGCCTTTTCTACGACAAAACTGGATGCTTAGTCACAAACATATTTTACTAGCTACTACTCATGATCTCCCTACAATGACTGTTACTGGGACCAAAATCCTTGTATTATCCAACAATGCGATCTAACCACATTATAAATAGTTCCAGCTTAAACCCAACATCCAATATTACACATATGATGCAACAACGTTAATGACACAAAAGTAAAATACCCTTAGCTAGTTGGAAAATTCATTACTCCATAGCAAGCATATTTTAAGAGATCATCAACATCAAGTTGTAATGAGTTATAGATATATTTATATATATATATAACATACTCATTCATCTTTTTCTTTAAAAATCCAAATTTCAAATAGCCAGATTACTAGTATAGCTTAATTTCTTACTGATCATGATCACTTGCACTAGTAATACTCTCTGGTGGTGCTGCTTGTGGTGGCATCAGTGAAGCAGGATTCTGCTGCTGTGGGGGCCTTTTTCTCTTCTTCTTCTCGTAGCTAATCCCTCTAGCTTTAGCCTGGGAATCCCTAACTTCACGTAGATAAAGCCTAACAGCACGAGCCCCAAAAGGGTTGTTCTCAGGCTTGCCTCCGTGCTCTTCAAAGGCAGCCCGGAGGCGGCCAATGAGTGCATCGAGGCTTCCCCAGGCCTGGCGGAGCGGGCACGGGCACGGCGCGGGCGGGTTCGGGTGGCCAAAGAAGGGGCAGAGTTGGGTGTGGACTTTGGTTTTTCCAAACTGATCAAGGTAACGCAAGAACTCGAGGACGTGGGCCCCACTGCACCGAGAGAGTGAGAGAGGAGGACGGTGGTTCCGGAGGTATTGGCCAAAGGTGTTCCAGTCTCGCCGCTTCTGATTCTCATAGCGGCTGAGAGTGGAGGGGGAGGTGGTGGTGGTGGTGGTGGTGGTGGTGGAAGAGGAAGAGGATGGGGAGGGTGAGGGGGAGGGGATGGTGGTGGTGGTGTTGAGGGGGATCGTGATTGTTGGGCGTGTTGTGATACTGTTGAAGTCTTGAATAGAGTCCATGTGTGTTGGCTTGATGCTTTGGGGGAGTTAATTAAGGTTTTTCCTAACAACTAGCTGGAACTGGAAAAAGATGGCGTTTGTTGACTAAAATATTTCAACAGGAACTTGATGATCCCATAAGAAATAGGTATATAGAGACTAAGAGGTAGAATACCGCTAATTCTCAAGAAAAGGATGTGCTATTAATTAGTTCTAAGAATGTGAGATGAGGATGAAGGGAGCTTCAAGAAGTGTTGCTGAGATATGAAGACTGCTAACTTAAAAGGGTTTTGATTATATGTCAAATATGTTTAAATTTTATCTAGGGTTCAAGAATGCCATGACCATGAATAGTACTCTCCATGAGTGGCTAGGAGGAAAATAGAAGTATTAGCTAGTGAGATTTTGGAGATGAAAGAAGGTGACGATATATAAGGGAAAGAACAGTGCTAACTACTGATCTTTTATAGGTTTGAGGATTCTTTTTGAATATTTTGTTTATCAATCCTAGAAACCTTATGAAAGGCTTATGATGTTGGTGGTGGGCTTTTGCTAACTAACTTTGAAATCTTAAAAAATTGGTGAGTTTGGCAGATGTTTTCCCTTAAATGGGAGAAGTACCTGAGTTTCTAATAACCTAAGTTAAATAGGACTACAGAGAGAGAGAGAGAGAGAGAGAGGGTAAAAGAAGATGGGCAAGTGGAAGGAGCTAGGCTTAGAGCTAGTGTGGAAATGTAAAGAGGTTGACAGTGACAGCGAGAGAGGGAGAGAGAGAGAGATGGTGGATGCAGACAGGAAAAAGCTATGGGTTAAAAATATACAAGGGAATAACATGATTTTGTTTCTTCAAACTTTTGTATTGATTGACAACACCTTTTCTCCAATGACCACATTACCCTTCATTGATTTCTTTTCAGGAACATCTTCCATCTAAAATTTTCAAACCTGATAGCATGGGTCCTATCCTATATGTGTCAAGAACAGTCGCTTAGCACAGTGCACGTAGAGAACTGTATCAATAACGTCGAACTTTTTTTCTTCTTTTCTTTTGAACAAGCAGGAAGATCAATCCTGTAGGTACACGAACGACCTCACGGAGTTCTGCAATTTCTGAAGGTTTTCAGTTATTAAATCAATTCCCTCACCCAAAAAAAAAAAAAAAAACCCATTTCAACAAAGAACAACCGAAGGATGCTACAGTGTTGTTTTTCTTTTTTAAAAAATAAAGATGTTTTTGATAGGTTTTTGCATTTTTTAAAATTAATCATTTTCTAAACATAGTTAAAGAATATTTCATAACGAATGATGTTAGAAATTTTAAAAATAAATTCGTAAAAAATATCGATTATTATAGTGTTGATACACTGTTGATGATAATAGATTTGTTGATTTATTTAAATTCAATAGCCTTAGGCATTGCATTCTATGAATGTTAATTTAAAAAAAATGATTTTTGGCTTTGCTTAAAAAGAAAAGATTGACCAATGAATTTAGCTCAATTGCTATTAATATTTTTTTCAAGACATATCGAATTCAAAATTTTTTTATAATAATAAAAAAAAACGAGATAGAGTTTCAGTATATGTGGAAAGAAAATTACTCCTCATCTCCGAATGAGGCATTTCCTGTAGAAGCTCTGTTGGCTGCTAATTATATTTTGGCTAGCTATGTGATCTTAGTAGCTGGCTAGGCTGAGCATACTTTTGTAAATCTTTTGGCCATGTGTGCCTGTTTCCATCTTGCCCTTTTTGTTGCGCAGGCACAGACGGGGAGAGGCACTGACTTCAACAGTTCTCTTTGTCCACAAAGATCGATACAGAAACACATTGTTAAAATTATTGATTGATATGTTTTCCAGCAAATAAGTACGTCACCCGTATTGTTTCCTTTAACAGAAAACTGAAAGTAAATTAACATTTTTTTCCCTTCCAAAAACAAGTATTTTGATATAAAACGAGGCGTTCTTATACATTAATATATTTATTTAAAAAAAAATATGTTCACATTCAAAACTTTTTGGAAAAAAAGCACTAATTTCTAATTCTAGTAAATAAAATTTAAAGACATAAAATATGTATGTGTTCTCCAACTTCGGTGCAAATATCCACGTGAGGTTCTCGGAACTCTAAAAATTTTATTTAAAATTTATTTGTTAAAAATCTTATTATTATTATTATTATTATTTTGAAAATGTGAGTTATTTATTAATTTTAGAGTGATTATCTAGTATTAAAAAAAATTAGAAACTTAAAATAAGCATTGATTCGAAATTCCTGAATAAATAGTTAATTATGCATTTGAAAAGATATCAATAATCTAAAACACACTTTTCTAAGAAAAATATAACATCTAGTTTAGTCATAAAGTTTATTTTCTTAAAATTTCTTCTTTTGTTTTCAAAATTAATCCTAAGTCAAAATTTCAAGTTTTATTTCCTAGGTAAAATTAATTTTTTATTTTTATTCATAGTATAATGTTGAATCGATCGTCGAATCCCTTTGTCAAACATCACATCAGTTCAACATCGGATTCGGTTTAAACCTAAACATAACCGGTATGTAAAAAATATTCTAATTATCGAAGGCATTGATTTGTATTAACATTAGTCATTATTTGATAGAAGATTTTGTTAATTTTTCTCTTAATATTTTCTATGTTTCTAATTTTTAAATTTTTAAATTTTTTCTTTCTTTTAATTTTTTTATTCTTTTAGAATTTTCTCTCCTTTTTTATCATTTTTCTTATTTTCTCTCTCTCCCTTTTATTGTTACTTTTTTTTATCTAATATTTTCTCTTCCTTATTATCTTTTCTTTTGTTATTTTTTTTATATATTTTTATTTTTGTTAGTAGGGAATCATCATCAATTCCTAAAAGTTAGGAGACTCAATAATTCATCAATCCATTAATTATCTCGTTGTAATTATTGAAATAAAACCTAAATAATTAAACATTTTGACTAAACAAATTCAAGAAATTCAAAATATTAAATTTAAATTAAACATAAAAAAACATGTATACGAAAAAAAATCGGGAGTAATTTTGGAAAAGGGATAAAAATAAGGGTATTGAGCTTTTGGGTTCGGTAGGCCTTCGACCCACTCGAGCTTAGGTCAAGCTGAAATTAGCCTAAGCTTTAGCCGTGCTAGCTAGGTCGAAGCCCGTTTAAATTTCACACCTCTCCTCGTTTCTTAAACTAAAGAAACAACTCAAATCACTAACGAGTTCCTAGCCCTTTCCCAATTCCTTCTTAATAAAAACACAACCTCGCTCGTGTAAAACCCCCGATCTAAGACCTAGATAAGTCATGGATATTAGTGGTATTGGTTTACATTCAAAGTGCAATGAATGCAACTCAAGAAGTCTCCTCTCTTGTCATCCCTATTTCATTGGCAAAATAGGCAATTATAACTAATAAGGTCTCTAATGAGTATGAGATTCTAGGTCCACCTTAAAATAACTTAGGTATAATTTTTCTTAGATTTAATAAAGTCATCACTAAATTCATTTAAACGTTTACTAATAACTTAGCTATTTGATTTTTCTTTTAATCTTAACCTTGGCATTTCTTTTTAATTCCTTACTTTTTATTCTGAATTGCAATCATTTCCATAATCCAATTAATTATATCATCCTAGTCATATTAGTCATATTAAACAACTAAGTTCTATGACTAACAAGTTTGACATAACATTAATTTAATATTTAAGCCTCACACACACACACACACACACACACACATACACACACGTATATATATATATATATATATATTTAACTAATTTACATATCAAAATTTTGCTTAACTTACTATCATATATACATGCCAAAATCAAGTTAAGCATAGTAAGTTCTCATACTCTTCAAACCTAGGCTCACAAAAGGGCAAGTCCTTCACATGTCTTGGCGATGACTCTTCATTTATCTTTATCTTCTCCTACACCATAAGAACGTGAGTGAGCAATGGAAAGTTAGTAAGCATAATCTATGCAATATATGTGATGCTTATGATACAACTTTTACGAAAACATTTTCATGCCTTTTGAAATATATTTTTCTCTTCGAGCACGCATCTTGTCGATTGTGTATATAATCGGCCCTTTGTGAAAACATGCAATTTGTGAAATTCACAAAAAGCACGAGGTACCTTTCCATAACCTTAACACACAAAATGTGCCCATTTCCTCAAAAGAGAGTGATCAATCCTCTCCCATAAACCTCAAGAGAGGTCATCCTTCCTTTCCCATAAATCCTCAAGAAAGAAGGGATCGTTCCTTTCTCATAAATCCTTAAAAAGGTACCATGCCATTTTCTTTGAAAACTTTTTCCTTTTCTTTTTCCTTTCATTAAAATCATGAATGCAAAATCTTTTTCCCGATCATGATGTGCATATGTATTTAAATAAAATGCGAGTGTCATATTCATAAACCTTAGCATGCATACCATTTCCGTCCTCAATAACATATACAAACATAATAAATCAATTACATATTTTAAATAATCAAGTATGTATGCATCATAAAAACATCATGCACAATCAATGATATGGAGAAGATCATATCATGGTCAATCATAATAAGCATCATAAACAATCATTTTCATATGAACATGATCATTTCTATACCATTTATACTTCTAAACCTCACAATAAACATTTGCTTCACATTAACCTCTCTTGTCCTTTGTTTCCATGCTTGGCCAAATTAGACCAAATGGAAGGACAACTATAACTTCATTCAATTGACTTATTAAATTTTCTCTAAGATATTCTATCAAACACTATATAGGCATTAGGTGATATAATCACTAATTTATATATACTTAAGGTTGTTCATTCATCTTGTTCTTGTAACGAGAACAACATCCAATCACATGTTTCCATTCAATTCAATCATCAAATTATCATAATGCTCTCTTCATAAACACATATGCATCATCAAATAATTCCAAATCGATCATCATATATCATTCCTCAACATCATTTTCATTAAACCTCAATCAAGCAAATCTTAAACTAACACCA